TTTACAAAAATACTTCTTACATTTCATACTTATTTTTGTTCAATATAATGAATATACAATATTAATGACATGCTCAATTATTTTTATTTTTTTTTGTATTATATATTTTATTTATTTTAACTTTCTATTATTTAATTATGACATTATTTATTAATAGATTTGGCTCTAAATGGTTAAATTGCTTACGCACCACCGAGAGGGAAGATAATGGTTTTGTTTTTAAATTATTTTTTAAAAATATTTATTTTTATATTATTAAAATTAATGTTGTGGATTTAATTAGTACAATTTAATGATGAGAAAAGTATATCTTAAATATAAGATTTAATGAGAGATAATAGGAAAAAAGTTTTACTTTCAATTGGTTTTAAATTTTACATTTCATTTCAATCATTAATAAAAACATTTATTATTTATCATCAATGTTTTCAACTTGTTGTTGACCTAGTCAATTGAACCGTTTGAACCATCACTCAGCCGTGATTCTAGGTCGGGTTCTGTTGAAACTCTCCTTTTTTGTTAAAAACCGTCTAACTTGGGTGTGGTTCAACCATTGACTCGTTCGACCCATTAACCAAGTCACAGGTTGCGCACTTAATTATGTGTAAACTTTTGGAAGCCATAACTTTGCACTCCAATGTCTGACTGGGGTTATCTTTTTTTTTTGAGTAAATTTTCAAGATCTATACGTCCTAAGGCCATTATGCGCCTTGCCTTGCTATTTTTGTGAAAATGGCCCCAAATTGCAATTTATAATATTTTTATAAATAAAAAATTGAAATTGGAATTAAAAAACACAAATAAATGTAACATAATGCATATATGTAATATATGTAAAACATAACTATGATATATGTAAAACATAATAATACTGTTTATTGATAAAATATGTAATTTTACACACACACACACACACACACATAGTGTTGAGGTAGAATGGTTTGACTCATTTGACCTTGACAGTCGAACTGGTGACCTGTGACCCAAAGGCAAAAGCAGGTCGGCCTTCGGGTCAATTTTTAAAGCATTGTTTATCATACTTATTATGGTTTAATATGTCAAATATATAATGTTAAAAAGRTTCTCATTTTTTTAATTTTTATATTCTTTGTATTTTATATATTTTTGAATTTATTATTTAATTGTGGCAACATGGATTGGCCCCTTTGACCCAAATGATTTAATTTCTTACCACTACCTAGATGAAAACACTATTTTTTTAGGTAGATTTTAAAAGTATAATTTTTTATGTTATTGAAATTATTAATTTATGTATGTATTTGATTATAGAATTTAATGATGAGAAGAAACAAAGAAGCCTTAAATATATGATTCTATGAAAGTGAATGCAAATTAATACCTTAAATGTTGGATTTAATGAGAGATAATTGAATGCATTGAATATCTTAAAGTTAACTCTTTTCAATAACTAATTATCCTATTTGCTCTTACTTCACCATGTCTTTAAGATTTTATTTTCCAAAACTTACCTTCTGTTAGTGCATTGTTGATGTTTCTTAATAGATGTGTCCAAATCAGCATAAATAATAATTTTCATAATCAAATTGCCCTTGGATGGTGGGTTAGAGGAAAAGGGTCTTTTTTCAATTTTTAGTTTTCATGTTTTTTTTTCATTTTTAGTGTTTTATTATAATTCCCAATGTTTTTTTATAACTTCTGTTTTTTTACATTTTTATATTTTCTACAATCTATAAATTTTTCTGTATTTTTTGTTATTTATTTGCAATTTCTGTGTTTTTCTATAACTTTTGGTGTTTTTTCTACAGTTTTTATTTTCTGATTTTGTTTTTCAATTTCTATAGTTTATATAATTTGAAAATAATTTTTATTTTGTTTGCAATTTCTATAATTTTTTATATTTTTTGAAATTTTTATGCTTTTATGTATTTTATATTTGAAAATATTTTTTTGAACTTTTTCCTATTTTTCATGTCTAATTATTAAAATATATGCATATATTTTATATTTTAAAATGAAGGTTAAAATGGTATAACACCCGTTAGTTTGTTTAAGTCAAGTTAGTGACATGGTGAGTTTTAGACAATTTGAAAAGTTATAGTGAGTTTAAGAGAAATGTTGAAAACTCAAGRTGAGCTTTAGACAATTTCCCAAATAACAATAATACCCTTTCTTTTATCGATATTGATTTATGTTAAAACCTTTTACGGTGTTTTTAGTCTCTCTCTCTCTCCAGTAAAATCTTGAAACCGACCAACAATAGTAAATCATTTTCGGTGGAAATTGGCCAACATCAAATATTCAAAACATTTCAATATCGCTTCTTCTCTCTACAAGTTTTTTGAAGTCACCCTAATTCGATTTAGGGTGTCATGAATAATAAATGATGGGTGTAAGGATTGAAAGGACCGACTATGTAATTCTCGTTTAATTGGGTTTTACTTTTATTCTACTTCATGTCTTAGGGGATGTTTGGAAGTGTGGGCATTTTTTTTTTTTTGAAAAATGGTGCCACGTTGGATCCACGTAGGCGATTCCACAAACAACCACTTACATGACTGTTTGGTTCAAGCCTTTTTTGAAAAAACACTAAAAAATGGGCATGCATCATAAAAAGCATCCTAACCGTAGCATGAAACGTCAGATTTGATGTTTCATGCATCGGTGAGCCGTTGCCCCCAATGGTTGAATGATGTGGCGCTYACATGTATATGCACATACATGAAAACAGTGATAAAAATTACCTTACCAAAATAGCATTTGTGTTGCTCACTGTCTACGTGGTGGCATAAACACTACCAAACATATGAAGGTGCTTTTTTTGTGAAAAATGAGTCTAACAAGCGTGGGCGTTTTTCTTTGAAAATCGATCCCAAAAAACACCCACGCTTCCAAACACCATCTTAATTTACTTCATTTGTAATGCAATCAAACAAAATAAGCTAAAATTTGAAACAAGAATTGGTTAGAATTTATACTTAAATCATTTGCACTACTATAGTTTTGCACCAGTGCAAATTTATTTGCATTGCAACCAAACACAACCTAAACAATGAAAAAAACTGTTTTGTTTTTTTTTTTTGCAATTAGGCTTCAAATATAAGAAGGCAAGATGAGGGTTTTCTTGCTTCTTTTGTCGTTGAGCCCTGACCCAAAATCGACAATGTCATCGCACAAAACAATTAGAATCAAGAAGCCTGCCAAGAAGATGAGGCAGAGTWGGCCCATCTCTTACTGGATCCGTACGAGGATCGACAATACGGAGAAGGGGATAGAGATGGAGACAGAGTCAAAGATGGAGATGGGATACGAAATCAGAAATGGAGACAAAAACATAGATGGAATCGGGAATGGAGATGGAAAACAGAAATGGACACAGAGTTGGAGGTGGAGATGGAAACAGAGGCAAAGTCAGAGATTGAGATGGAAAACAAAGACAAAGATGGAGTAGTGATCTACTTTCTTTGAGTTTTATTTTGAAAATTTGAGGAAAAGTGGAGGGAAAATTGGCATTTCATTTTTTTCGTTAGCATTTAACAGCAATATCAATTGTCATAAACAATAAGGTACTTTAACACAATATGTAAACAGTAAGGGTAGAGTTCGTTAATTAGCTAAACCATAAGAGTAGCTTAAGAAATTTTCCCTATTCTAATTTGTTGCTTTGGTAAAATATAAAAATATATCCTAAAGCTTCTAACAATCATAAAAAACTCTTATGAGTTTTCACTTTTATAAAAAACCTGCCCTATAATTTATCAAAGACTTGCAATTACCTCCCTCTCATTTTTGTTGAAGTAATGAAGTTTTCAAAATTATGCAATCATCCT